AGGCGCGCCTTTCGCTTGCGTGCTGCAGCTCTGCCTCGTCACGGACGACGACCAGGCCATCCCGCCCTTCCTCACCGAGGAGGACCGACGCTTCCCGCTCCTCCTCGGCCCTGACAAGGCTGACGCCCCTCGCCCGCGCCTCGCCCGCCCCTCGCCCACATGCACACGCCCCTCGCCCACAACACATGCACATGGAACATGCACATGCACATGCACATGCACAACATGCGTGGTCGCACGCGTCCGGCTCTCCCCGGCCCCTTGACTGAGCCGTGACTGCGTCAGGCTCCAACCGAGGCGCCCCCGGTCGAGGTACCGGACACGGGCGTGGCGGTGCGTCTCTCCGCCCCCCTGCCTGCCCGCTCCCCTCTCCCTCTCGCTCCACAAACCTCCTCCCTCCCCTCTCCCGCCCCGCCCCGCCCGCCAGGTCGTCAAGCTGCAGCTCGGCCTCAAGGCACTCTCCTCAAAGGCTCCGCCACCCACCGCTGCTGCAGCGCCGCTCGCCGCGCCCAGAGAAGGTTCGTCGACCGCCTCTGCGGCACCGCGGTAGGTCCACGACCGCCGCTTCAAGCTGCTCGTCGCGCTCAACGTGCCGCCAGAGACGCTCAAGGCGCCCCCTTCCCCCCCGCCCCCCTTCGCATCTCGCCCCCCAAGGGCGCTTCTCCACCCTGGCCCCGAGCCCGCCCCCTCCACCCTCTCGCACACACGGCCTCCCTCCCCGCGGCCGCAGGAGAGCCCAAACCTGACCGTCTTCTCGCCCTGCTTCAAGGGCATCACGCGCCTCCGCCCGACGGCGGAGGAGAAGCGGCGCAGGCCGGCGCACGCGCCCGCGTCCGAGGGGGGGCTCGAGCAGCAGCAGCAGCAGCTCTACATGCTCGCCCGCCGGCGAGCAGGTCTCGAGGAGGAGCTCGCAGCGCGCGTCTCGTCAGCGGCGCCTCTTTCTTCTCTCAGGCTGCAGCAGATCGAGGAGGACAACGCGGACCTCCGCCGGCGAGTCATGGCGCTCGAAGGCAGCCTGGACCGCCCCCACCTCCTCCTCCACAACACCAAACCCCTCTCCTCCGAGCATACCCACCCCCGCCCTCTCTCTCTCCGCCCCTCTCTCTCCCCGCCCCTCTCTCACTCCGCCCTGCCCTCACTCCGCCCTCTCCCGACGTGCAGGCAACGGCGTCGCGGCGGCGCGCGGCACGAAGCGGCCGGCCGAGGACTAGCGAGCCGCCCCGAGGGCGAGGCAGGTAGACGGGAGAGCTGGGCGCCGGAGGCCCGGGGGTGGCTCGTCCGCCGCGGCGCCTCGCCTGCGCGGGCCTTGCCCTCGTGCTGCCCACCGCGCTGTAGCGAGTGCGTAGTACGTACATGTAGATTGCGCGTTGAGCTCAGTGGTAGTCTGCGGTGAGACCGCTTGTGCACATGCCACATCCCTCGCCATCCCCGGCGCAGAGGGGGCGCAGAGAGACGAGAGGGCGAGCATGTGAGCTAAAGTACGGCTACGCGGGGGGAGCAGAGCCAGCTGTAAGCTGAGGCTGCCCACGAGGTGTAGAATCTTCGCGGGTGTCGGGCGCGGTCGCCCGGCCACACAGACTCTCGGTCGGCGTCTCCCGCGGGCCGGGGGTCCCACGCTCACGCGGTCCGGTGCAGCTCAGACAGCGTTCACTCTCTCTGTTGAGACGCAAAAAAACTAGGGTTGCCTAACGTTAAGAGCTGAACAGTGTTGCTAGTGTTAACAGTAACAACAGAACAACAGTGGGGCCCCCCAACAACAGTAGCTAACGTTAGGCCGGCTGAACAACAATAAGGAAGGCCTGGCAGTGACCCACGACGATCTCTAGTGTCCAGTGCGGGTAATACCCGAAATACCCGGAAAATCCCAGGTATTTTCGGGTTTTACCCGGGGTTTTTGCCATTTTCTGCTTGCTGGCCGCTGAACAACAGTAACAACAGTAACAAACAGTAACAGCTTGGGCTGGGGAGAACACTTGAACAACGTTGAGGATTTCAGCCAACAATAGCGCAACTGTTAGGCCCCAAATAAACGTTAGGCAACCCTAAAAAAAACACAAGGCAAGCCGGCCAGACCACGCTCCACGGGACCGTCAGTCGAGCGCTAGCCGGCGAGCGCGGAGAACAGAGACATAAATAAACAAACAAACAGTGGCGGGGACAGACAGACAGAGATCGACTAGACACTAGTTAGTCAGACATGACACAACGGCTCTCCGTGGCGCTTCCCACCCTTCGGGTCGCGCTCGAGCGGGGCATGCCAGTCGATTTCTTCGGCGACTACGAACCTTTACAACAAGGCCCACCACCGGCGGCCCCACGACGGCGTCCTCGCCGCCTGGGCGGACGCGATGCGCGCCCCAGCCAACGCGCCGGTCGTGCACGGTGACAAGGAGAAACCGGAGCTCACCCGGCAGTACAATGAGGGGTACAAGACCGACCTCGCAGAACCCCATGCGGGACCGGGGGGGGTGCGATGAAGTGAATGAAATCAAGCTCTGGACGCCCCTCCTCAAGACCTCCTCGACGGGCGCTGGCAACGCCTCGAGTGGCGGCACGCCCCCCTCCGTTGGCCACTCCTACGCGCTACGCCTTCGGCAGCACCAGGAGAAGGCCCGCCGCCTGAACATGGGCTGCAAGTACAGCAAGGCGCGCGGGCAGCCCGGCCAACCCCTTCCACAAGAACGGCCACGGCTACGTCAAGGCGCATCGCGGTTTCTACCACGACGCGATCTTTGTCAAGCGCAACAACTTTAACCTGCTGCTCCACGAGACGTTCGGCGGCGGCTTCTCGCCCACCGCCGTTCTCAAGCTGCGCCGCCTCGCGCGCAAGGTCGCGCGCGCGGCAGCGTCGACCGCACGGCCTACTCGCCCAAGTACTCGCTCTCTTTTATGTCCCA